ACAACTTGACTAGTTGTAGGCCAGCAAATGAAGACAAAGAATGAAAACTCATAAATCACTTACTGAAGCTCTAAAGAGACAGTTAGTATGAAAGATTACACCTGAGGTAATCTTACATTAAATACAGAAAGTTTTATTATTCATATGCTACCCACTTAATGTAAGCTGTCAGAACAGATAAGTGGCAGTGAAAACACTGATAAAAAACTGGGCCAAAAAAAGTTTAACACACCCAAACTGAAAATGTATTGCCAGAATAAACATATAATCAAACATAAGGCACTACAAAATAAAACAGACACTACCCATACTACTCACAAAAGGCAAACAGATTCACAGACGCTGCAGGACCTTTGATTCTGAAAAGATTTGTAGACAAGCTTGATTTCATTCACTCTGAGCAGAAGTCAGAAGTGCCAACAACCAATACGAGCAGGATTAAACCCATTACAGCAGCACACAAGGACTGGAATTAAATAAAGATTTAAGAAACTAGGTGCCAAAGCTATCAGTCTTCAATTTTAAAATAATGAATAGCTTTAGAAGAAAAAAACCAACCCCAAACACTGAATTTACAGAACTTTACCTTCAACATGTTGTTTGCCAGTGTCAACAGTAACTTATACCTCTGAAGTTGTCTATAACAAGGTTTAGTGGAAAAATTTCCAACTAGTTTGATAGAGACTAGTTTTATGGAAAATCTAAATAGTTATCAACTTCAACTACTTAAACTGAACAAGTAGCAAGTATTTGCAATAAAGACTTTAATTCTGCTACAAAGCTATTACTGGTTGTTACATCTCACTTCAGACAAGAATGAGAATTTACTCAATGGCTCGAATTATGCTTACACCAGAGTCCCATACAAATAAGAAATTGGTCATAATGCCGGGACTTTTTAAACATAATGCAATGCTGCTGAAAAAATGTCACATAACTAAACAAAAAATCATATTATCTTGGCTCTCTACAGCACGGAGCTATATTGTCCCTTTGCCAGCTTCACTTTGTCAAATATTTTAAATAACTACCTCCCATTTTGCAGCAATTCATTCTTATGATTCAACAGTGAAGACTATAGTACCGAGGAAAACTGGGAAGCGCTGTAAAGTAATGTTTAATATATTCATCAATGACATAGACAGCAAGATCGAGTGCACCCTCAGCAAGCTTGTGGATGACACCAAGCTGAGTGGTGCAGTTGATATGCCAGAAGGACGGGATGTCATCCAAAGAGACCTGGACAAGCTGGAGAGGTGGGCCTGGGTGAACATCATGAGGTTCAACAAGGCCAAGTCCAAGGTCCTGCACCTGGGTCGGGGTAACCCCCGGGATCAATACAGGCTGGGGGAAGAAAGGATCCAGAGCAGCCTTGCCGAGAGGGACTTGGGGGTACTGATGGATGAAAAACTGGACATGAGCCTGCAATATGCGCTGGCAGCCCAGAAGGCCAACCGTACCCTGGGCTGCATCAGGAGAAGCATGGCCAGCAGGTCAAAGGAGATAATTCTGCCCTTTCCTCTCTGGTGAGACCTCACCTGGAGTCCTGCCTCCAGCTCTGGACCCCTCAGCACAAGAAGGACATGGAACTGTTGGAAGGGGTCCAGAGGAGGGCTACTAAAATGATCCGAGGGATGAAGCAACTCTCCTATGAGGACAGGCTGACAGAGTTGGGCTTGTTCAGCCTGGAGAAGAGAAGGCTGCGGGGAGACCTGGTTGTGACCTTTCAGTACCTAAAGGGGGCCTATAGGAAAGATGGGGAAAATCTTTTCAGTAGGGCCAGCTGTGACAGGACAAGGGGTAATGGTTCTAAACTAAAACAGGGTAGGTTTAGACTGGATATAAGGAAGAAATTCTTTACAATGAGGGTGGTGAAACACTGGAATGGGTTGCCCAGAGAGGTAGTGGAAGCCCCATCCCTGGAAACATTCAAGACGAGGTTGGACGGGGCTCTGAGCAACCTGATCCAGTTGAAGATGTCCCTGCTCACTGCGGGGGGGTTGGACTAGATGACCTTTAAGGGTCCCTTCCAACCCAAAACATTCTATGATTCTATAATCTCACTGCATTCTCAAGAGCAAATGCTAGGCCTGGTTGATGAGACAGAATTATAAACATTTCCTACATATTCCTTTGTTTCCACAATGATAATTAAAATTATGCTGTTTAATGTCAAATACTTGCCTTAACCTGTAATATTTCACATACCTCTGCTGCAAATATTTCCACTACATAACATACTGCAACATGAACAGTTCAGAACTGTTTGCCAGCACAATCTCAAGCAAGGCTGCTTAAGATAAATTATAATGAAAAGGAATAATAATAGAAGTTATCCACTGTTAGAATGTGAAAAGTGTCTCCATTTAACAGGACCGCACAAGCTCTGAACTGAAAAAAGATCGCTCCAAAACATAAAGATGCTATACTTGTTTCTACACTGCTTTGCTTTTGAGTATTTCCTATTTCTGTCAATAAGAAGCTACAAGTAGCATCTAAACTGCTTACAAGACTCGCAGCATGCTACTTTGGCTCTATCACTCTGCTCCTCATAGCTTTTACAATCCAGTTCCACTTTCAGTTTATTGGCCTTAGTGTCATGCTGAGCATGGCCAGTAGTTTTAAAAAGCTCCATACATTAATTGCAGCAACAGAGAGTACAAGACCTCTGGAGAACTTTTGCCTGTAACTACGACAGCATCTCCAACTGTCTTAACTGAAAAACTGAGAAGTTTAAATTGAATAAACTACTTAACATTTGTAGAGTCCAGCAACTTCCTGTCTCAAAAAATTAATCAATTAAATAAGCTGTAGACTTCTGGAGCTCCCCCAAAGAACTAAAAAGTTTACTTGTAGGACTGTCCATGCATTACATGGAAGCTACTCCATGAACTAGATCACCTCACTCAATACCCTTTCGAAGGGATTACTTCCTGCATTTAACACTTTTTACATAGAACTACGTACATGGTTACTTATGCAAGAGTCCTATACATATATGAAATTGGTCTCAACGACAGCACGTTTTAAACATAATGCAATGCTGTTAAAAAATGTCAAAAACTAAACATAAAATCATATTCTGTTGGCTCTTTACTACAAGGAGATACATTTCCAGTAGGATTTCTGGTGGAATAACATGCTTTCCTCACTAGGAATTGTGTACAGAAAACCAAAGTTTTAACATGTGCTGTCCAAGGAATCAGGACTAACAGTTAATCTGTTTGGGAACATGCTTATTTAAAAAAATCAGCATTTCCTAAGGAGATGCAGCTTAGAAATTTTCCACAATTAAGACCGCAATATATATATACACATATATATATATGAAGTCTTTGTTCTTGACTCAAGAATAGAGGTTGCTCTTTACCTGCCTGCAGTTCAGTCTGTTTAATATCTGTTGAGACAAGACATTGAAGCATACAAACTGTTGAATACTTCCAAAATTTCCTAGATATAAGTAGATGAACAGTACTGCAAGCATACACTGACCTCCTAACCCCATCCCACCTAAACCCTCTGGCCTAAAAAAAATGTAGGTCTTCCAGTCTTGAAATACCTAACCAGCCCTAATTGACAGCAACTTCTTTTCCAAAGGAAGAATGGGAAAAAGTTCACTACCTCCATGAAAAGAATAAAGTTGGGAAGCATAACTGTATTTTGGAACTTGTGAGGATTATTTTGCAAATAATGAGTATCTGTCCTTGAACACAACCTTCTGAGTGCACACTGATGCTCCAAGCCAAACTACATTCTCACATCCATAGCACACATTTTGAACATACAAGAGGAAGTCTTCCTAACTGTTACATGTGATGCATTTTAGACAAAGTATGAGATACAAAATCACTGGGTTTGTGAAATATTCTTTTTTAAGGAGAAAAAAGGTGCATGAGGGCCTAACAGCACCTGACACGTAGACCAGGCATCGTGGAAGGAAGACAAGCTCTGGAAGTTACCAGCAAAACGAGGAGCTCGGTACAGGCCGCATGCTCGTGCAAACCACACAGGCTCATCAGGTTGCATGACCACGGCTGTCAAGCGAACAGGGGGAAACGCTCGATGCTCAGGCAACCCCTGCCTTCTTCCACTGAACAAAACGGCAAAGTCCCCGTCCATGGGGTGCGGCGGGATTCGTTTAAGCGACACCGGGCTGATCCCGGCTGCCAAGGGGCCGGGCAGGCGCGTTATGCTCGTGCAAACCACACAGGCTCATCAGGTTGCATGACCACGGCTGTCAAGCGAACAGGGGGAAACGCTCGATGCTCAGGCAACCCCTGCCTTCTTCCACTGAACAAAACGGCAAAGTCCCCGTCCATGGGGTGCGGCGGGATTCGTTTAAGCGACACCGGGCTGATCCCGGCTGCCAAGGGGCCGGGCAGGCGCGTTACCTGCTGGACGACCCGAGCGA